CCTGCACCCCAAATGATCCCAGCCGGTCACCAAAGGAAGACACATCTTTTCAAACTCAGGACATTAAGAAATGGCATCATTCCACTTCCTGACCTCAAATTTGGAACAGTCATAAATTTCTAGGGCCTCCTCAACCCAGAAAGAAACACATGACAGCAGTTTTATATAAATCTGGTATGAGACAGTAAACATCTAACTACAGAGACACAATAAGGGTTGCTACCAGGAGAGGAAAGTTAGGCTTTCCCAGGAGAAGAAACCAGAGAAAACAAGGAGGGGTTTATTACATACCTTAAGCAATTAAGACCACCAGCACGGAACCCCTTTCTTGTTATTTCATTCTTTAGATTTCATTTAATCTTGAAAGAGAGTTACTACTAAGTCAAAAATCAGACACACACAAGTGCAATCAGTGGAACCCTCTGACGTGAACAGGAAAGAATGAACCTGTTACCTGTAGGAGTAGAAAGTGAATATGCCATTGTGACCAAGCTTAGCACCGCCACTGTAAGCCCCTCCTTTCTCTCTGATTTCTCTATGTAGAAATTTAGCTGTCATCAACCGTGCAAGAACTCGAAGGCTGTAACGAGAGAAATATCAACAGCAAAGACGTTAAATGAATTGGACAACAGTAATATTCTCAACTTCCTCTAAAGTTTGCAAAGATCCCTCTTTGCAATGCCTTGCATCAACAATACTATACAACAGTAACGCTATCAATAACCAGTATTTAATAATAGTTGAAAAATGTAACATCACTGTAAGAGTGGCACTTGCTTTGAACCATTTCTTGACTATTCCACTTTAATGAAAAACAAGTGCAGCCTCCTAAACTTTGTTAAACGCATTAGGATTGTCAACTTGGCCACATCCAAGCAGGCAGGGCTGTTTATTTTGAAGTTGGGGACAGCAGTCTCCCATTACTTACTAAAACCTTACTGGACCAAGCCATGCAAAGGTTGCTCTGTAAAGATTTTGTGACAAATGAACCACAAAGCATTTTCTATCGACACTGTTTTCCATGGTCAGCCTAACACTTGCTGTTTTGTTTTGTGCTGTGCAACATACACAGAAGCTCCCGGCTGGTTCTGCTTCTCACCTTGCATAGTCTGCAGCTATGTAGGGAACTGTTCGAACGCACTCCCCAATGTAATTCACTGGGAAGGGAAGTACAAAGTGAGTCTTCATCTGGCATGGTTTGAAAGTAGGATCCTAAGAGACAAATGCATTGTTGTCGCAGTTAGCAGAGATGAGACAAGTTACGCACTTGAGAACTCTGGCTTTTGTGAGAATTATGAAATTCTGCCAAGCATGCAGACACACAAAAGCTGAAGCTGCCACTTAACCTATGCTGCCACCAGTGACACTTTCCTTGTGCCCACATTAGCAATCCAGTACACAGAATTGCCTTGGGAAATTCAAGTATGTTGACACTGTACCCCAGCCTACCCATCCCTGCACACCAGCTTCTCAGTTCCACAGATCTTGTATGATTAGCAAAGAGTTTCGACTGGTGTGCTTCCCCTTCCCCTGTCATGTCTTTATTTTGACTGCAACAAGTGTCCACGAGTCTCCACTTCTATGTCCATATAAGCACACAGTCACCACTTTGTATTTTAATCCATCTTCTCAATTTTGGATATTGAAGACCAATTCAGAAACTGAAACCTACAAGAATATGCAAACTATTTATGAAGAGTAGCAGCTTATTAACTTCTGCTCAAACATCCCCCGCAATAAACTCAATTCCTCCTTACAACTTCACTTCAAAACTTCCAGTCCTCTTTGTATCTCCAGGCCTCTGCAGAGCTCACTGCTTTGCTTCTCTCACACACCCACCTGCTTGTGCACTAAGGCATGGGCAGAGCCTTACACACCTCCTGTAGCTTTTATGATCTCATTTCAATACTCCCAGACCTTTCTTAACTTCAGAGATCCAGCCCCTCACACAGCTCTGGCTGGCTGGGCCAAGCACAGCAGCAGGTAAGTCCCTGGTCAGCAAGCAAAACCAAGGGTTGAGCTCTCCCTGCCTTCTTCTCAAAGGAGAGCTCAGGGTACACTGAGCTGCTTTCCTCTACTATAGCCAAATATAGACTTTCATTTTTACTTAATTATCACTGATCCTATTCTGTCAGGTATCATTCACATTCAGAGTCATTTAGGGAGGAGAGGAAGGAAAGGAAGGACTGGAAGTGACACCACACCAACCTGGTTCTAAAGAAACCAGGTTAAAAATAAAATAAGCATCACTTACGGGAGACAGCACAAGTGAGTATTTGCCTGCATGCATGAATGTGGAGTTAGCTAAACGATCTTCACACCAGAACCAAAGGGAAGAGAGCAAGAAGGATGACACAGAGGAATTAAGAAGTTTGATGGGTAGTTTAAGGAAATAATCCAGTCAGAGGGAGGACCTGCAGAGCACATTACATTTCCGTGGTGTGCTTCTAAATAGTGAAAGAATCTGGAACAGTTTAAGATGAATCATTACAATCAGTAACAGTCCAGTAATACTAATCTCCCCTAACAATATGTACTTACATTAACTAGTTTCCTTGTGATCTGTGACCCAGTAAGCATTTCACTTCCCACAGGTTTGACTTCTGAAGATTTCTACAAGAGACCCAGCCCAAATATTAAAAGATGATTTAATAATTTCGGCCAAGAATACTACAAATGCAACTCCCCACTGTTCCAGCCTCTTTAAAACTACCATCAGACTGTGTCTTCACAAACATAAGCAAGCTACTCAATTATTTTCTTATATTTGAATTTCTAAACAAATGCCAAATGAATTTCATTTCAGGAGTAATTTGGCACTGAAAGACACCAAGACAGAGATTAAATGGGGCCCAGAAGGTTTCAGACTATCATTTCCCTCATGGGTAGGGAACTGGAAGCTTATTCCAGTCTCATCCGAAATTGAGACAGATCTGCATATTGACAGAGCAGATCCTCTGTCAAGTCTATGGAATCAAGTACGTTTTACGCCAGAAGTCCCGAACATACAGATAACAAAACAAATTCCTACAGAACTGAGGAAGTGCACGTCAGGCCCTATTTCCTTTCGGCTTACATTTCAAGAAAAGCTCAGCCGAAAAAGAAATTACAGTTTTATGCAACAGAGAAAGGAAGAATTTCTTTTTCCACATCCCACGCAAAAGCGATAACCTCAGGGTAAGGCTCGACAGCTGATCTGCAGATTGACTATTTTCTGTTTCATCGAGGTGAAGACAGTCTCTGTGGCAAAACACCACAGCAGCTTATTCACAGACCTGACTCTTGCAAATTTCTCCAGACATCTTTGGGCTGACGTAATATCTGAGTTCAATTATCTTCTCCTGATTGCACAGTGGTCTTGATCAGATCAACTCTATATGATGCCCCAGTCACAAACGAAGTAATTTCTTACCTCAATCACATGGGGACGAACAGGTTTTCTCTCTTTTTTACTTCTAGCTATGCCCTTTACAAATTTCTCTACTTCTTTAGATGCTTCTGATATCTGTTGAGGTGCTGCATTCACTGAGCATCTGTTTAAAATACATATCAAGTTTTTAAATATGTTCCTGCATTTTCAGACAGTCCTTTACAAATTGTAGCAATTTCTCTTCCTAAACATCTTCTACAAAATCATCAGAATGTTAGATTTGTGGTCACTGATAATCATTAGCACAGACAAAAAGCAAAATACTCATAATCCACAATTTGATACACCAAAAAAAAATAATAATTCAAAGTCCTTTTTGCTTGTCCAAAAATACCTCCGGATCTAAACTTTAGTAGAAACTGTTGAACCGCTTCTGTGCGCTGGACGGGATTACACCACTTTTGCAAAATATAAATGTCTCACAAAGAAACTAATGTCTTCTGTATTTCCTCTTTCCAGACAGACCTATTATGGTTTTGAAGAGCACAGATATTTCCATAATTTCATTATTTCATACTTGGCAATTGACACCACTTCAAATAGACTATTTTTGGAACTAGTGTGTCTGACAACACACACCTTAAAGTGCTCTCTCCCTTTTTCCAATATATGCATAAAGCAAATTTCAGACTATCACAATTTTCCTTTTAGTAGAAAAAAATATCAGAGCAAATTGCATTCTACTGTTACAATACAATACAACAGTATTCGTCTAATGGACACCTTTAAGGGGTGGGGGGAGAAGGTGAAATTAAGTATTTCTGTAAAATTCCACAGGCCACTTACACACTTTTGGTACAAAACTTACATATGAAATTTGCCTTAAGTTTCTCATATCTGTTGAAAATGGAACAAAACAAGCTACCACTTTGTAAGCATGGAGAATTCAAACTAATAAAATTTTTTGTGGTTTTTACATAGACCTCCTGTTTCACAAAATGCCAGTACTCCATGAAGCGCACTGAGAAACGCCCATTCACAGGCCACAGCCTCTCTTCAACCAATTGTCCCTTTTCTTTTTAGCTGGAACTCACCTAATGTTGTCACTGTTTAATAAATACTTCTTAATGCGTGGCAGTTTGCGTAGTATTGGCTTAATATCAGACATTTCTGCTATTCTCTTCATCAGCTTCACCTGTGTGGGAAGGGAAGGCAGAAAGACCACCGATTAAGCCAAGAGAAACAATTAGCAAAAACGAGCGCTGTAATTCCAAAGTGGATTTGGGCCTTGCTGCAGGATACCGTTAACTTTTCACCTGATCCATCCCACTGAACATTTCTTGCAGTTCTCCAGAAGGCGTAAGGTTTTTGCTGGCTCTGATAGAAGCATACAAATGCCCACAATCTGGAATCCCATTTGACAGCTCCTGGGCAGTCTTCTTAACCAGCACTCTGAAATGTTCTTCCTCCTCAAATCGAGGGCTGGAAAAGAGTAGGAACAGGTCTCTAGGTCTCATGTAAATGCACTCCAAAGGAATTTATAATACTGAATAATTCATCACCCCAAGCTCAACAAAGAGCTGTTGGTTCTCCATTTAATCCAGTAAATAGTCATGCAAATGATGGAATATTTAGGTTTAGAAACCGAGAGCCACTAAAGATATAGTTATAAAAAGAAATCCCAAAGCAGGACCTCTAAGAAGAGAATGATCAAGGGAGGAGGGAGAACTCCAAAACACATGCAAAACCACAAACAAATGAAACCCAAGGTACTGTACTTGTTAAATATTTCACTCCATAAATGCATCATGTCTGGCAGATTTCTATCCAAGCATAGAGATGAAAAGAGCACACCCTGAAGGAAAAAATAAAAACAAAACACAAAAAAATCCTTCACACAAGACAACCAAAGCAATGGCCTCAGAAATGCACAACAAATTTTTATGGAAGTGATGCAATGATGCCAACCTAACACTACACACCACAAAACCACTTTAATGCAGGCTGTGCTACTGATACCACAGCAGACATGAAATGTGATGGGTTCCTCATACAAAGCAAGCCTGCTGACTCCCCCTTCTCAACAGTAAGTAGCAGTTCAGAAAGAGAACTTCTTATTTTTCACATAAAGTATGAACAGAACTGTTCTGGGGATGCACCTTTCTGGACACAAGTCCTCCTAATTCAACTCCAGGATCTATGGGGAGCAGACCACAGCAGCAGACCCCAGCAAGACTGAAAAAAATCTCAAGAAGTATTGCTAGGACTGTTATGCCCTATACTGAGATCTAATGATCTTGCAAATATTCCATATTTCTGAACCACGTTATCGGGGACATACACATGCTAACAGTAATCTCTGTGTATAACACTACACCATTCTGTCCTCTACCCTCTGCTTCCAAAATTTTTGCATCACTCAAAAAATACATTGACAGATGCTAGTGAAGCACTGCCTTAAAATGGACAACCACATCAGGCACTCACCTTAAGAAAAAAATACTAATAGCATCTTACACAAAAAGGCAGGAGTCCTTTTATACACTACTACACTTTCACGCACTACTACACACTACTACAGTCCTTTTTAAACAGGACTAGCTGACCCCTTTACCTGCAAGCCTGGACTGACCCTTAACTACAGAGCTGTTACTGCAATATTTTGAAGCTTATGATTAATTTACCTGTTCATACACATCCAGGTGTGAATCATCTGGAATGATATGTGGGCTGACAGACATCCCACCTGTTTTCAGTTCTATCTTCTGGGCCTGTTCCCTGTAATCAAGGGCTCCACATCCCATCCTGCAAAAAACAAAAAGAGACTTATTTCCATTTTCAGCGTACACTGTATGGCATTTGCAAAGCAGGCTCTTTAGGCCCATACTACTTTAAACAAGCTGGGGCATTATGAAGGAAACATAATACTTTATATCTTGTAAAAGCTTCATACCAAGCTTTTCAATTGAAGCATCCTGTTAATCCAAAACGATGTATTAAAAATTGTGCTTTATGTACAGCTTGCTACCACCATCCATATGGAACCATATTAATAACATCACATAAGCTGTTATCACCAATAAAAAGAATGGATTCCTCTCAGCATAGGTCACTTCTGCTTTGTGCCGCTCTTTCCCCTGTGGTGGGGTCAGTGTTCCTGTGACCACATGGTGAAATTAGATCCAAAATCTATCCACATGATAACTTTAATTTCTGCTAGGCTATATTTCATTTACATGATTTTCCAATCTTTTCAGGGAAAACCTGAGTTGATGCTGGGGAACAAGGCAATGCAGGGACTGATGAAGGAGGGGAAAGGGGCTGGCAACTCTGCAGGGAAGAGGCAAGACCATTGTTTCTACAAGACACCAACTTATCAGCATTTCCCTTCCATAATAAGAACAGATGCTGAAATTATTAGAAGCACTGTTATTTCAGTAAGCTGTATTATAGCTTCTTGCTTCAGCTCCTAAACAAGTAAACCTCTCACTTTGTGATGACATTGCAGAAGAGTGGCACATATGGCTTGAGCTCCTCAGGAAGCGTGTTCAAGCTGGAAACAGCTCTGTAATAAACCACCCCGTTGGTTGGCTGAGCACAGTACTGGACAGGAACTTCATCAGCTAAGGATAAAAAAAACAAAAGCAAAGAATAGCCAACAGTTTCCTACCATAAACACATAAAAGCAAAACAACTTCTTACAAGACCTTCCCATTAAGAGTTATTTTCTTGTTGGTACTTCAACATCACTTCTTTTTTAAACTTTGCACATTGCACTGAATGCTGGACTGGAAGAGCTTTACTGGTTCTGTCCATGGTAAGCTAATGGATACCTGGCCCATCTGAAGAAAGAATTCTGTTGACAGAGTCACATTTCAGAAGTAACATTCAAATAAAGGAAAGGCAATTTCTGAAGTTTCTGAAGAAGTCAAGAAGTTTTTCTCCCTTATATTTTGCCTTCATCACCTCAAAAGCTGACGAAAGGAGGTTCCTGCACTGGACGTTCTCTCTAAGTTAGGGCACTACAATATACATATTAGAATTTTACACAGACCCAGGTAATTTTAGCATCAAAACTATAAAGTACTTGCCATACGCTGGCAATTTTTGCAGGAAAGTATCTGTTATGAATATACTACAATCCACAATTTCTTGTTTCCTGTCAATCCATGGTGTAGCCACTGGCAGGGCAAGAAGAAACTTGTGCTGAGGTTATGAAGAATAACAATATTTATTTATTTCTCCCCATACCTGCTGTATATCATATTCTTCAGAAAATGGGCAGGGAGGGAGAACAGCAAGGAAGGCTCACTGCAAAAGCTGCCATCGGTGCTGCACCTTGGATAAATCTTTGGGAAGTGCTCAAGCCCAGTGGAGTGTGACTCCTCTGGCTGCAGGGCAGGGAGCTCGCATCAGCAGCTACTGCCAGAGCCCTGGCAAGGGCAGGCAGCTGGTTGGAGCCGAGACCAACCCCACGCTGCCCCTCAGAGGCAATGGCAAGAAGCAAATTCTCTACTGCAGAGGTGGTGGACCAGAGAAAAAGGACCTTAACTATGCACAGCAAACAGCGAGTACATATGCTTTGTGAAGAGAAAAAAAAAAATCACAGAATCACAGAATTGTTGAGGCTGGAAAAGACCTCTGAGATGATCAAGTCCAGTCCATGACCCAACACCATCACAACAGCCAGACCACGGCACTAAGTGCCACATCCAGCCTCTCCTTAAACACCTCCAGGGACGGTGACTCCACCACTTCCCTGGGCAGGGCATCCCAGTGCCTGAGCACCCTCTCCATGAGGAAGGGTTTCCCGAGATCCAACCTAAACCTCCCCTGATGCAGTTTCAGGCCGTGCCCTCTGTCCTGTCACTGGTTGCCCGGGAGAAGAGCCTGACCCCCACCTGACCGCACCCTCCCTTCCGGCCGGTGCAGAGAGGCTCTTCCCCAGCTGAACACCCCCAGCGCCCTCAGCCTCTCCTCACAGCACTTTCCCTCCAGTCCCTTCCCCAGCCTCGTTGCTCTCCTCTGCACCCGCTCCAGCCCCTCAGCGTCTTTCTTGCAGTGAGGGGCCCAGACCTGCACACAGGGCTCGAGGTGAGGCCTCCCCAGGGCTGAGCTCAGGGGCAGAATCACATCCCTGCTCCTGCTGGCCACACTGTTCCTGATACAAGCCAGGATGGCATCGGCCTTCCTGGCCACCTGGGCACCTGCTGGCTCATGTGCAACCAGGTGTCACCCAGCACTCCCAGGAACTCCAGCTGGGCAAGCAGCCAGGTAACAATCCAACAGTGCTGCTTCTGGAGGAAAAACAGTGGTTCCACCAACCTGCAAGTGTTGTTTCCAGCACGGTGAATGGGATTTTGGGCTCAATGTCAGACACTTTTAGAGCTGGGAGACAAGAGGTGTCCTGAGGTTTGCTTTGAAGAGCAATTAATTCCAAACCTAGTAAGGAGAGCAGAACAATAGTTTGATACTTTCAGCTTTCAGTGAAAGTGCTGTCAAAACCTCCTGAGGTGATGCAGATTAGAAACACATGAGTTGGAAGTTTGGAATTTTGTACCAACAATTCTTTCAAATATTTCACTGAGACAAATTCTGCAGATTATCACATTGCAAACAGAACACTCTATCGTTGTAAATTCTCCTTCTGACACTAATTCACATCCAATTTACAGTAATATACAATTTAAACTCCAAAGAAGCGACATGTCCCAGCCTGTCCTGTCACCCAGCTCTGAGAACACCAGCCCAGGCAATCCCAATCTTGCAGGTAAGAAGCTTCTCTAACCCATTCCCCCCAGTTCTTACTCGAGTGCTCTGTCAGTACACTGATGCAGCTAAATTACTGTGTTCAGTTTTACATTTCAGCCTTTCAGATCTAGCTGGTCACCTCTAAGTACTCTCCAATTTATCTTTTTAAGTAGAAAGCCTCATCTGACTTTCTGCTTCCCTATCCCTCGCCTCATACAAAAGCTTTGGGATATTAATATCACTTTTTTTTGAGCATTTCTATGACCAGATCCCTGTTTTCACAAAATCAGACGACTGCACAGGGTTTCCGAGTTTAAGCTATTGCCTAGAGTAAGTTAAACACAACACTATTTTTATAGTTGGCTTTTTAAGTAGAAAAGATAAGAAATAAAATTACAAAATATAAGTTTTACAGGAGCACAGAGCAGACCTCACACTCAAAAATAAACAACAAGGTGGAATTCAATCTTGCACTTAGTGGAATTTAACATGGCAAAAAATAAACAGATCAATATTTTACAACAATTTCCTTTCTTCTGCCCTAATGGAGACACTAATCATTCTACTTTTTAATGTTAAAACTAATGGAATATACCAATCATACACTGCAGTATAAACACTACACTGAATAGCCCTGTAAACACATAAACACAAACTTTCAACAAAAAAAAATCACCTCTTTCAGAGCATATGCTGGAGGATTTAAGATATTGTATAGAACGCCAGTTAAAAAACTGGCTGTGTTTTTAAGCAGTCACCCATACAAAACTATGGAAAAGCATGTTAACCTTTTTCAAAGATCTGGGTTCTTTCTTCTTCAGAAAGAGCATTGACCTTTTTTTTCAGCTTTTCTGCTTCCATTTTTGCTTGTTTATCACGGTAGTCTTCCTCTGGACTCATTGACAGAGTCAATCTATGTGGATTATCCTGCGGAGATATATCCCAAAACGAAGCATTATTAATTTTGAGGGCAACTTCCCTGAATCGCCTCAGATTATTGCTTCATCTTCAGTAGATAAAGACAGCCTGTGCATCATTCCGCTTGCATATTATCAAAACTATTGCAAGCAGGCAATTTGAACTCTTCGTTTCATACAGAACAGTCTGATGCAAGGGTGGGGAAGAGAGGCAGCTTACCGCAAGAACAAGCATGAATAACCTCCCATGAAATTGTAGTACAGAGTCAGAATCCATCAACGGCACGTAGCAGTCATTACTTTTTTAATTAAACCAAGGTTAAACACCTGTACCTAATGCCAAAGAAGGGCATGCTGCAAGTTTTATCTGGAAAATGTTCCAAGACGGGGAATCTGGTTGAACGCAGGAGGGTTTCATTAAACACCTCTTTCAACCTGCCCCAGCTTGAGCGCGCAGCGATCCCGTATGACGCAAAGGGTGCGTGCCTTATCCTGCTCAGAAATGCTTTACAGCGGTCTTGCTGCCAGAGAACTCCATGCATTATGCAAGTGGCACAACTGCTGTTCAATTTCTCTTTGTTTATACCCAACTGGAGAATTTTAGTAACAAAATAACTGGAGCAGCTTCCATTTTACATAATACTGGGAGGCTAGTCAAAAGAGGGTGACCTCAAAAATTGCCCATTTCAAAGGGAGGAGTCAAACAGCAACATCTGTCACTTACAGACGCTGCCAGTAACTTGTGACAACGTAATCGGATTCTGGTTTACGAGCTTATCTCCACCGTGCTTATGTGGAACAACTATGGAAACGTGGTTCACTACAGCTGAAAAGGGAAATGCAAAATTAACCAGGCATAGTAAAATGGGCAGGATGAACAGCATTCTCTCCCTTGCTCTTAGCCTTCCTGCTTTATTATCTCCAGGCACAATGCACAACAGCACATCATCTTCTGATATAAGAACACCCAACTACTCTCCTGACTTCCTACCCAGTAATGGTTCTGCCTTCGCCCACTCAGCAGAACTGCACAGTAAAGGACATACTCAAAAATACTGCACCTGTACTTCCTTCCTGCAAATGCCAAAACCTGAACAGCTCCCTACTACTACCAGACACTAATAATAACCTTTAGGAAAACAGATTTCAACTGATGCCACTGTCTCTTGTTGCCTTTGAGTAGTTGAACACCAGCATTTACTCACTATTAGATCAGGCTGGCAGTTACCTGTAATAGACCTGCCCTTCAAAACAGCAATTTGACCGCAAAAACAAACCCCACAAAACATCACCAACAAAACAAACACCAACAAAATCCCCCAAAGCACTTTTGCATTGCAATAATTGGATTTTTTTTCTTTCTGGCATTAGCTAATTCAGAGCTTCAGAACTATTCAATATTATAATGCCTTTATTGTTTTTATTTCTTCAAGAACTCCATAGGAATGTCTGGAGAGGAAAACAAGAAAAAAGCAAACAGAAAGCACTTTGCACTGACAGCAAAATTCAGACAGCAGTTCAGTGAACATGAGGAGCACCAGAACAATCTTACTTATACCAAAGTCTTTCCAAGGAAAAAGAGATACATCTTGCCACGCTAATACTAAGGAATACATAATTATCTCTTTAATTTTTTGTTCACATCTGAGTTTCTTGTTAGGAAACACCCATGTGTCCTTCTATAGTCTCAGGCATTACAGGTCAGTGAAATGTTTTATTGATATTCTAATATGTGTATTTCCAAATATTCCACCAGACAACTTTCTCCATTTTGAAAAGTTTACACTTCAACCACTTTAAATTATCGTGCTTCATTGAAAAGTGCTGCTGTTCATCTACACCTAAATATAGGCAGGATGGTTATACCAAATTAGCCTTCAGCTTTATTTTAAATATAAAATTGTGATTTGAAAATTTTTCCATACGTTTCCTACCTTGAAATACATTTTAACTTTTTCCTGAAGAAATGTGGGATTTTCTTTAAGGCACTCCCTAAACCGAGACACTTTATCTGCAATCTTCAGAAGCTCCACTGGATCCCCATCTTGATTCCAGCAGGAGGCTATATACTGAATGGGAAAGAATAATTAGGTAAGCAGTTCAATCCATCTGCATTTCTACAACTGACAGCATCTGCATTCCAAAACCACTTTATCATTTATATTTGAACAGCAGACATATAATAAGTAGTTCTAATATATTGGGGAGGGGGTGGTGAAAAGATGAAATCTTTGTCCAGATGAAAGGACTATCCCATCCTCATCTGTCCCCTGTTCTCTCCTCTAATTTCATCATACCAAACCAGATTTTCTTTTATTTTTTTTTCTCCCTGCAATAGATGTATCTGTATTCTGGTAATCTATTGTAATATTCTTTCCTCCCTCACATTTAAAATAAACTTATCAGCCCAAAAAAGAAGAAAAAACAGGCATTAGAGACAAGGTAATACATAAATACTACAGTCCACCCATTTATTGTATCAGTCAGATGAAATTATTTATAAAGTAACTCAAACATGTAACATGGATGGGATTTTGGAGGAGGAAGATACTAGATAACCAGAATCATCCTCAGGATATTTCTTTCTGAAGGACTTTTATTCTAGCTTCATTCTCTAGTTTGAAACTATTAAATTTGTCCACACTGCAAAAATACAAAAAACACACCACGGGGCAAGATACCAAAACCTTCTCCATTTCTACTCTGTGTGAATGGGGAAAAAAAAACCAAAGCAAAATAAAAAAAATCTCATGAAAGAAAAAGCCCTTAAAAACCGACAGAAAACAAATGCACTGGAACTCTCAAAATCATCTGCTCTTATCTCTTTAATTACAAGCGGGTATCAAAAGCCTTCTAGACTATTTTAGTATTATTGTCTATTCCACAGAAATTCCCTGTCTTTTAAAGAATAGTATTATTTTAGAATATGCTTAATTGAATTCTCTTGAAATAAAAGTTTATGTGAGGCTTCTGTGGGGTCATTACAACTAAGTACTGGTTCTCCGTAAGCAACCTAAAAGTTTAAAACCGTATGTGCAGAAGCATTGACCCAAAGCTGCTTGAACACCGATGGGCTTGTGGTCACCACCACTTCCCCGGCGTCACAGCTGAACCCCAGCTGGCAGCTCAGCGCCACCCAGCGCGTGCTCACATCACTCATGGTGGGATGGGGGAGAGAATTGGAAGAGTAAAAGTGAGAAAACTCACGGGCTGAGGTAAACTGCAAGCAAAGCAAAACAAGCAATTAATTCACTGCTTCCCATGGGTTCAGCCATCTCCAGAAAAACAGGGCTCCACCAAGTGTAGCGGTAACTTGGGAAGACAAACATCATCACTCCAAATATCCCCCCCTTCCTCCTTCTCCCAGCCTTTATCACTGATCACACTGCCATACGGTACGTGATAACCCTTGGGCCAGCTGTGGGACCGAGAGCACCCTCAGAAGGTTTGCTGGTGACCCAGAGCTGCGTGGGAGGGAAGGGATCCCATCCAGAGGGACCCTGACAGGCTGGAGAGGTGAGACCACGCAAACCGCATCAAGTTTGACACGGTCAAGTGCAAGGTCCTGCACTTGGGCTGAGACGATGATCGGTACCCAGTACAAGCCAGGCAATGGACGGTTTGAAAGCAGCCCCGCAGAGAAGTGCTTGGGGATACCGGTGGATGAAAAGTTGGATATGAGCCAGCAACACGCGCTCACAGCCCAGAAAGCACATCGTATCCTGGGCTGTATCAAAAGAAGTGCGGTCAGCGTGCTGAAAGAGGTGATTCTCCCCCTCTACTCTGCTCTGGTGAGAGCTCACCTGAAGTACCGCATCCAGCTCTGGGGCCCACAGTACAAGACAGACACTGACCTGTTGGAGCCGATCCAGAGGAGGGCCACAAAAATGATCAGTGGGAGCCAACAATTCTATGAAGAAAGGCTACGAGAGTTGGGAGCTGTTCAGCCTGGAGAAAACAAGGCTTCAGGGAGACCTTATCGGGGACTCTCAATATATGAAAGCAACTTTTAAGAAATACAGAGACTTTTTACCATGGCCTGAACCGACAGGACAAATGGAAATGGTTTTAAACTGAAGGATGGCAGATTTAGATTGGACACAAGGAAGACATTCTTTACTGTGAGGGTGGGGAGACACAGGTTGCCCAGAGAAGCTGTGGATGTCCCCTCTCGCTGGAAGCGTTCAAAGCCAGGTTGGATGGGGCTTTGAGCAACCTGGTCTAATGGAAGATGTCCCTGTCCGCAGCAGGGAAGCTGGAACTAGATGATCTTTTAAAGGTCCCTTCCAATCCAAACTGTTCTATGATTCAATGGATACTTTAGCTATAACTAGGTCCCTTTCATAACCTTTTCAATGTCAACTTCTAAAACATGACCTCAGGGAAACAAACTGAAATGTATCTCTCCTCTATGGGAGTATAACACCAAATGCTGCATGACTGGTCTTTGAAAGCAATAACTTTTTCAGAGCTTTCTGTTCCAGAATTAAGCCCCAACAGTTGAATCAACTTCAGGTCTTCAAAACGTTGAAATATAAAGTATATGCATAAATATTTAATCACAGAGAAGTACTCACACAATCCAAAGACACGCTAGAAAGTATTGGCTATCAAAGTCAGGCACATTGTGCCGGATCCTATCATGAAACACGACAGGCAATTAAATATCCACAATTTGCCTGTTTCACTATAGGGCAATCTGATTTGAAACCACTTGTGGTTGTGCTCTCCCGTTTACAAATCTCATGTTAATTCAGGGCTCTGCTGCTTTACCTAACTTTGTATGCTAAAGGAATGAACTCCTGTTCATGCTGAAAAAGATACACACTTGAGAGACAGAAAGCAAAAGGAGCTGCTGAACAACTGAAGGTGCTACAGAGCAGAAAAAAAAACCCAAAAGAGAGAACACCGGAGAATAAGTGGCAGTAGGAGCCCCTGATATTCAAACTGACTATAAGTACTGTAGCTAATTCATTCTCAGATTTAAGATGATTTGCAGCTTTCTCAAGGACACCACATTCTGCTGTGGAACACGTTTGCCATGGCAGCTTTGTATCAAAATTTCAAGACAGCTTTGTTATCAAAATTTGAGGCCACAAATTGAATCAGTGTGCATTTTCACTTGTGAATCTTGACATTAAATTACAGCAGTACAACCCTAAATTCCACCAAAAATATATCCTTCTATTTGATTTTTAAAAATTCATAGGCATTTAGGCAAGGCATACAGTTCCAAAAGCCAGTATGGTGTGACTCTCTCACTGAAGTAATCAGTGCCACTGCAATCAAAGCTACGATTCGGGCAACAGGCTCACGCCTGATCAAATCGTTCAGTGTGGAGTCCAGCGATAGTTTGCAGGCTACTGAAAAGAATGAAGAGAGATGGACATGAGATGACAAAGAAAAGGCCCTTAAATGAGAAATTTTACATATCAATAGCCTACAAAATGACCCCATGTTTCATAAAGACATAGACAGTAGATTTCTTAGTCATTTCTAAAAAAAGACACCACACATGAGCACACACCCTGACTTACAGATGTCAGGGCAAGTCCAAAACTCGTAGACTGATGCTTCAGCTGGATTTCAATTTTGTGAAGTAGAGCTTCAATCCTATCTTCCTCAAATCCTTTCCTTTACGAAGGAGAGAAGGAAATAATACCCATTAACACTAATCACTTTAAGTGAAGTTATGAAAATTAATTATAACATTGATAAAGGAAGCATTACAACATAATGTCTTCCACACTGAACTAAAATTGATATGAGATAATCTTATCATACTGTGTCATTCAGTGAAACTGCACTAATATCATTAAACACCTGAAGGTTATGCTGATGAATATGCTACAATAGAGGAAGTAGCAGATGGAAGTTTTAAGAGTATCGAACAACATCAGTGCTTCTTTGGTGCATTTGTTTTAATATAACTCAATTTTTAAGGCATGTTATTATATATATGTCTGTATTATTATATGGCTACATACTATTAAAAGACTGTATGAAAGAACTAACAGCATTCTTAAAAATTTAGCATTACTCACACAATAACTTCATCAATTGTTCTAGCAATTATCTGTTTCACAGTATCAATGTCTCTTTCAGCAATACTCTGCAGGCCCACACTGAAATAAGCTTCTCTTGTTGAGCCATTAAACCTAGAACAAAACGTATTTAACTCCGTGACCAGTACTAAAACTTAAGCATTAGCCTACCAATAAAGGCAAAAGAAGGGGAAAATCAGTCATCATTTCACATACACAGGATTTTAAAAGCTAGATAGAAGAATAATTACCAAAGAGGCAAGAAATGGAAATTAAAAGCATTTTTTGTTCAGTGTCAGTAGTAGCAGTCACTGTTAAGAAAACATATGGTATGTGACATTAGAGAAAGAAACAGTTACAGAAGAAAAGCTAGACTTTTCTGCTTATCTTCCCAATCATCCGTGAGGCAAAGAAGTCTCTTTTAAAGGTGAAAATTTTAGCTGCCTGTAATGCCAAACACACACATTCTACTTAAGCAGGTGAGTGGAATGATACTTTTAAATCTGGACATTTAAAGAAGTATTTATAAAGTGGTGAAGGTGAAATGTTCCATGTTTGCTGCAATTATTTTCAATGGTACTTACAAAAAAAAAAAAAAAAAAAAGAAAAAGGAAGAAGATAATTTTGTCCCAGCTATCAGACAGGGTTAATTGTAAGAACTCACCTTAGAGAGAAAAACTGACACTTGCAGAAATACAGACCACCTAGCAGTTTGAACCAAGTCAACGAATATAAAGCAATAGGTGCTCAAATTTAAACATCAAATGTGCTGGGTTGGAAGGACTTTTAAAGGTCATCTAGTCCTACTCCCGTGCAGTGAGCAGGGGCATCTTTAACTAGATCAGGTTGCTCAGAGCCCCATCCAACCAGACCTCTCTGGGCAACCTGTTCCAGCACTCCACCACCCTCATTGTAATATATCTCTTTCTTTCATCCACTATTCCGTGTCTAAAAACCACCCAAGGAATTCAAAAGCAGGCTAAGGTGGTGAACTGTGGAATACTGATCTCTAGACCCAAACTCAGTCTTCTAGATTGCTTCATCAGCACAGTCACTAAGGCAAATTAAAGCAAACTCACTGTACTGTTCAACATCATGTTAATATGGTCAACCTGGAAAAGGCTCAACTGCCAAATCGTAACAACTGACTCACTACTTCAGTGTCTAAAGATGAATTTCTACTGCCACGCTCTGTAATATTAAGATGTCACTGTAATATTAAGATGTCACTGGCATGCATGACTTGCAGGAAGCCCATGACTTCACATAGAGACCACTTAAGACAGGCAGAGTACTCGAGACAGTAAAATCACAAATGAGTATATTAAGGTTCCCCACTCACACATCTAGGGTAGTCGGTGGAGACAAAGACATGATTTTTGTCACCCTCAAGTCTAAAACTCGGTCAGACTCATGCTCTGAAAGTGCTTCTTCCTTTCTGATGACAGCAAAGGCAAATTATGAAGAGCAGCTGAGTCTGTAGTGAGGCAAAGACAATCCCTTGGTCTGCAGCACAAAGTCAGCTCTGAAGACTGGCTGCAGGAGCTACTCTGAAAAAGTGCTGGAAAAAATACCCTTTTGTCCTGAGGTGATGGCAAGTCAATGGCACCTAAGGGCCCAAAAGCACATTTATGCCAAACCTCCCTACCACTAAATCACAGAAATAAAGCAAAAGCGCAATGGTAATGCAGTACAGAGAAGAGTTAGCAAACTCCAAGTAACACTAAATGGCCAAGATGAAAACCCCAAGCAAATCAGGGCACTGGAGGTGTGCCATGTTTTGATCTACCCATTTTTCTTTTTCATAAGCTTTAAATAGTACAATTTTGTTTAAACTAACACAGCTTCTATTGAATTATTTTGACTAGCCAAAAATTGCACTTGAGAATGCTTTCTCAGTCATCAGCAGAAATTACTGAGATGTTTTAACATTAAAATACGATTACTCTGGTAATTGCCTGTGTGAGAGATGATTTCTCCCAACTTAACAGTGGTTTGTAACTTTTCTAATATTGCTGACAGTAATGAAATGTAACTTGCAACACTTACCCAACATCAGGAGAAAAATCTGTACCAATACCAGACTCAATTAAGGCTTTGTAAAAAGGAGAATTCGGCCCATCAACCAAGAGTGAAGACAACAGGCTTAGTGTGAACGTTTCAAAAGTGTCTGTAATACTGAAGAAAAAATAAATAGATCTTTAAAAACATCAAGCTACGAATATGTGACACCCAGCATCACTGAGTTCATTTCAGAAGAATTACTTCTACAAAACAAAGCAGAGGGAGCGAAGAATTGTCTGTTCCAGCATCACTGAGTTCATTTCAGAAGAATTCTACAAAACAAAGCAGAGGGAGCGAAGAAGTGTCTGTTATGAACACTGCACCGAACTAAGAGAGTTCTGTGTCTTTCATTTGTTATAACTAATAGTAAAGTAAGTTAAATTATGCTCCAAGGGCATAAAAAGTTATAGTAGGATCATACAGAAAGGCTTGCACATAGCAGGAAACTGAAAGACAGGAAGGCAGTTTTCCCAAAAGCCTAAGTCACAGACAACAGCTGATTTTCCTTATGGCTCTCTGCTAAAGACAGGAAAAATTCTGCTTAGCAACTGAATTTTCATTTACTAAAGTAAGACTTGTCTACCTTTCCCATGGCACTATTTACCTTAAAGATGACATTTCTGAAGAGGAATTGGTGGATAAGAAATATGCATCTCACTTAAAGTTCTAAAATAAGCCTTTGGTTCAGAATGTCCTTTTGATACTTACTCTGTCAACAAGTAGCTGACACTGACAGTTGTCTGCTTGCAGGGATCAGCAGCAAATGAGTCTAGACCACACGTTACTCTGTGTTCTCTCTGGAAAGTACAATAAAGACACTTGATGCAGACTAAATTCAGAGCAGGTTACAAATAAAAAAATGACTTTTTGCATCTTCATTGCATCTTCCTTCCAAAGATTAAAAATAATTTTACATACTCATGAGTAAGTTCAATATTCATGAGTAAATATACAAATACAACTTGAAAAATATGAGTGGTCTCTCAATTTTTAGAAGTGAAGAACAGAGGACAGCATCAAAAAAATCTGGCCATAATTAACACTCTGAGCTGGGTTTCCAAGAAATGCTTACACTTCTGGACAATCCAAGGAGGAAAAGGGGGAGGGAGAGAATGGAAAATGTTATTTTTTGACACCAATGCTTGGAAGTTTATGTAAAATAGGGCATATTTCCTGACACAAGTATCAATATTTCTATCAGTAGTGCTAAATGCTTTCCATTAACAAATGTTTCAGTGTTCCAAATTATAAGGAACTTGAAAACTGGAAATAAAAAAGAAACAACTGCACACAATCATTACATTACTAAAACTCAAATTTAAATGTAGTTTTTCCCCACTAGAACCAAAAATAAAAATACTTCAGCTCATTCACACACAAACACACTTCTAAAGAAAAAAGTAACTTCATCAGGCTGGGCTAAAATGTTAACTTTTTTAATTCAGTTTCTGTAATTCCAAGATAGGATGTGCATCATTTCTTTTTGTTGTTTCATTTCAATTTTTTTTTAATCTTTTTTTTTTTTACTTACAGGTTTTTCCCAGAGTTTCTGTTTCGGGATCTCAGTATTTGATTCAATTCTCTCAAATTTTATCAATGCTTCTTCATGTATTTGTTTCAAATGTTGCTCCAATGGAAAATTACCATAAGTGAAAAACCTACATTTCAAATGAAAGATTGTGATTAAGCATCAGATTTCACGTGAAATTTACATGAACAGCCTTTATTATATTCTAAATTTCATGCATTTTCAAGTGATTCAGTTTTATCTAGAACGGAACATGCTCCATAAGGTCCCTACGTTAAAGACCCACCAGTTTGCGACGCACATAAACCTCAGGGATCTCCTGGTAAAATTTCACGTTTTTCAGTTTCTGTTTTATGCTTTTTGGAGGCCATAAAAAGCTAGAATCATTTTGCTGCAGCAACATACAATGTTCAAAAAAATCCTAGTTATTGAAGCCAGAATCCCAGTGCCCTGAAGTTTCAGAAAACAAAATTCTTAGGAGTCCTCACATCTTACGGGTAAAATATGATGAACCATGTCTCTCTCAAGTGATCTAGAAAAACCGCATCTGGGTTCAGCCTACCAAGAACATTCCCACACCTACAAGAAACACTGTTGACTTCCACTGGATTAAACATGAGCACAAGGTATGTTTCAGGACAAATCCTGATGAAAACCTAAACACCTGTACAGCAGAATACTTGGGATGATGAGAAAAAACAAAGAATAAATTCACTGTCATGACACAGGATAATGTTCCATATGTGAATTAATCAGACTAACAGATTGACCACAAAACTGGTATAGAAGAAACAATAATACTACAGATTTCCCTCTATATCACTTTCAAATTGACTTTTAGCTTAAAATACTATTTCTGTTGGTACCAGTAAGGTATCTGACACATATCATAGAATTGTCAGGGTTGGAAGGGACCTTAAAGATCATCTAGTTCCAAGCCCCCGCCATGGGCAGGGACATCCCCCACTAGATCAGGCTGCTCAGAGCCCCATCCAGCCTGGCCTTAAAAACTTCCAGGGCTTCCATCACTCCTCTGGGCAACCTGTGCCAGTGTCTCACCACCCTCATGGGGAAGAACTTCTTCCTAACGCCCAATCTGAACCAAATCACCTCTAGCTTTAAACCATTCCCCCTAGTCCTA